AACATACCTGGTCTTACATGTGAAGAGCATATTTCTGCAATTTGTTCTGTCCATTTCAGGAAATAAGAGAAATCAGTTTTATTGAATGTTTCGCATTCATCGATACTAAAAATACTAACTGGATTTTAATAGTTCCTTTGTTTTCATTTATATATACTCCACTTTTTATGTTATAGTTTTACTGATGTTCTATGATTATGAATCAGAAAAAAGAAATTTTCTAATACCATCGAATTAAAATACCATTTGCATGGATAATCACTTATATAAAAAAAAAATTTTTTTTTAAAAAGGCTAGATTCCAATTCTTATTGCTTAAATTTTGTATTTAAGTTCGAACTTAGGAGTTCAAATAGTGTTCGAAAGTACAAACTAAGAAGCAATAAAATGATCTGTTTGACACATCTTTTAAAAAAAAAAAGAGAATATTAAAGATTTGCAAATTTTAATTATTGAAATTTTAAGCTCACTTTCGAACAGCATCGCCAAAAGTACGTTCACAAGTTTCTAACGCTTCTTTTAGGCGTAATTCTTCATTACCAAATATTTCAGGTGCCAAATGATAAAGCCATCGTTCTACGGCCATTAAATCATCAAATAATAAGTCCGCAAACATTGGATTACACGCATCCATTGAAAGCAAACGTTGCGTAAGCAATATTGCTTTCTGTAAAAAGCATAAGAAATAAAATTGGCACTAATTAATAATAATAAATTTGTAAATTGTATGGGAATGAACAACTGGTACATTATGAAATGCTAAATATACACTTCGATCAGTACAAGAAATTCTAATGTAATTGAATTAAAAATAATATAATGAAATTTATATTACCCAAAATGTTTTACGTTCATATCTTGAGCAATAAATTGAACAATCAGTGAAAGATTATTAATATAAATATACAATTTATTTAAATCAAAAAGAAAAAATCTGGTCTAGATTTGTTCAACTTGAACTTGAAGATATAAATCAAAATAAATCTTGAAACTCATTATCATTATCTATACGAAAACGTTGAACATACATACATTCTTCACTCGCGAAACACCTATAAGGATAACATGTAACAAAGAAAACCATAGATATATCAAAACATCATTGTTTTGCATAATTGTTTCATCCACTGTTCCATGTTGTAAAATTGATCTGAAAAAAAAATGTATGATTCAAATTTATGTTGATTGTTTTATGTTGATTTATGTTGAAATATTACTAATAACTTAAAGAACAGCGGCACAAATAAGTAGTAAATTATAATTAAAATAAATAACTGTTATAAAATCAGAGCATGTTAAAAAAAATAAATAAATAAAAATTAATTTGGATATCATCGCTAAATTCTCATTTTTGTGAAAAAAAAAAAAGAAATTTTTTTTTTTTTTTTCAATGAAAACTGCAAAAAACTTAACAGTAAGACGTCCTGAATAACTGAATCACTGCCCGATAAATAAGTGATTGTAAATATCACTGGTCCTAAAACGATATCACCCATTGGGGTGGCGAATTTCACTTGTCCGTGGTCGCTGTTAATGTTATATACCAAACGACATTTTTTATCTACCACATCTGAAGTTTTACCAACAAATATAGGTAATACAAATAACTTCAATACTCGATGAGAAAAAAAAAACGGCTTAAATCTCATCATAAAATAAAACATAAAAAGAAAAAACAAATTAGAATTTTTGAGGCACAGTTAGACATAACATATCATCTATAATTTTATTAAATAAACTAGAATTTGCAACTCTAAATTAAGGAACATACTGATTCTAATAACAACAGCATTAGGAAAAAGTGGATTGTTACCAAAAGGTCTAAAGTATTGATAACAGAATTCTTTCATTTTCTTCAGAGAAAAAATTTCTTACCCTTTAAAATTAAAACAATTTGTTTCTGCACGAAAAGAATATCAGGTGGTCGTAGAAGTTTAATGAGCTCAATAATACAATCTTGGTAAAGGCCACCAAATTTTCTGTAAACAATCGGTGATGAAAGAACTGAGATGAATTCTCCTATCGTCCATATTATTTGCTCTAAAACTTTTTTCGAATTTGAAGAAAATATTTCTGAAAAAAAATATAGGAATATAAAAAAAATCTGCTAATAATTCAAAACATTTCAAAGAATTTCGTCTTCAATCATATACAAATCAATTACATTGTAACCATAATCCACTTAGATGTTTTTTAGTAGCGTAAATATAAGTAATGGAATTATAAAATAAACTTTCTTTTCAAAAACATAAAAATATTATGACCAAAATTTGACAGATTAACTGACCGTCCGATATTACATTTGCAGTTTGTGAGTTCCGATCAGCAGTACAATAGACTTCCAGTAAATCCGGAAAATGAGTCAAATGTTCCACATTATCACCATTCAATATACTCTGATGTAACTTTTCACTGAACTCTTCCGCAACCACTTTGTAAAGCATGTAAACATCGTTTAAGGAGCTGAAATTAGCAAAAATCAAATTAAAAATAATTAAAAATGTGTGCCTCTCTAGAGAAATACAAATTTCTGTAGAAAAATTTCTTCCTCAAATAAAAACTTCGGAAAAACATTAATTGAAGTAATAATTAAAATTAATTAAAGTAATGAAAGAAAGCTTCGTATTTGTATATTACCATAGCTATAATGGTTAGGTAAGTAGATTTTCGTAGCTATATGCATTATATCGGCGATTTTATCTGCTTCAATGTAACGAGAAGAAATGAATTTAAAGATGAATATGGCTGACTATGAAGTAACAAAATATTTTTTTAGCTATGAAAAATAACAAAATACCAGTAGCATAATCGGAATATTATAAAAATAAGTTACTTATATTATAAAAAAGCAATATTATAAAAATAAGTTATTACTAAAAATAAGTTAATCGATTTACTTTTCAACTTTGTCCTTCATTAATTTCTTAAAATTTTCTTTCCTACATTATTTCAATAATTTAAATTTTTCAAATGTGCTACTGTTAAATGATACAAAGGAAAAAAAAATACAAATGGATGGAAGAATTTTCATCGTTAGCGAATAGTCTACGTTGTTCCAAATTTTCCAGTAATACATCGATATATTCAAATCCTTCTTTCTCCGATTGCTGCTGTTCTTGCTTTGATTGCTCACTTAACTCCATAGAGATCCTGCAATTATTTCATTTTAAAAATTTGAATTTTGAAATAATTGGACAAAAATTATTAGTAGATTTAAAATTTTTGTCTAATAAAATTTTTAATTAACAAAGTTTTTTTTTTCAAACTTCTCTGGTGACAAACATATCTTTTTCTATTGTTTTTATAGATTATTTACATATACATATCTAAATATAATTCATTTCAAATCTTATTTTCAATATCAAAGATCAGACGATTATTAAAAAAAAGAAATCTGACAAACATCACAAAAAATAATCTTTAAATATTTTATTAATCTAAATACAATTGGTTTATTTTTTTCAAACATATGAAAACAAAAAGAGGCAAATTTCATTATCTTATAAAAAATCTCGAGAAAAATAACTTCAGAGAAGAATTCCCGAAATATTTCCCTGTCCAGTTTCAGTTTAAATTTCAAATTAACGAATTATCATATCGCAACACGATCATTAACCCAATGAAAAATATTTGAAATGAAAAGTAATGAATAAAAATTTATAATTAATTAAATTTATCACAGAGTATATGTGCATATGAGATATCTGATAACATATCACTGATAATAGCATAATATCATAAAGTTAAACAGCTCTTATCAGTTTTTCATGAAATATTTCTTCTTTCTTTCACTCATCATTTCTCAGTTTCATTTGATTTTATTTGCAATTGAATTTTATTTGTGATTTAAAAATTTTTTAAAAATTCATATAATTTTTGAAACTATGTAATATATGTCAAAATATACTGTAATTCTTTTTAGGATTTCAAAAATTGTAAAATTTGATAAATTACAAAAATCGTGCAGTAATAATTATTGAACATGCTTGACATACATACATTTATTGAGAGCACTTATAAATTAACATTTAAAATGGTTACCATCTCTCTCTCCCTCTCTCTCTCTCCCTCCCTCTCTCCCTCTCTCTCCCTCTCTCTTTCAATCATTATCTCACTTAAAAGTTATTTATTGTATTTTGTCAGTGTAGGGAAAGATAAAGATGATACTTTTTTGATGACACTTTTTCATGGCTATTCAGATTGGTCATAACGCGTACTGTTTCTTTCCTTTTTTTTTTTTAAATTTAAATTTAAATTTAAACACAGCACAATTAAAAGTTGAAGCAGTGATTGAAATCAAATAAATGTATTAGTAACTAGCATATATATGTTCTGATCAGTTCATTTGTGATGACACGTAATTAACTTACTTAACATTAACTTACTTTGTGATGACACGTAATTAACTTATGTGCATAATTAACTTATTTGATATTAACTTACTTTGTAATGATACATAATTAACTTACGTGTGCATAATTAACTTACTTTGTGATGGCACATAATTAACTTACGTGTGCATAATTAACTTACTTTGTGATGACACATAATTAACTTACGTGTGCATAATTAACTTACTCGATATTAACTTACTTTGTAATGTCACATAATTAATTTATTTAATAGATTCTCGATGTAGACAATGTTTCTCCAATATTTCGTAGATTAAGTAATTATATCTTAAAATATTGTAAGTGATTCACACTAGAAATTATAACACATTAAATTCTATATTTTGTAATTGAATAAAAATAAAACTTCTTGCTTTTTCTTTTTTCTTCCAATTCGAGTATCTATATAACATTGTAAATTTGCGCTATTATTCCAGGTATCACTTTTAATCATTTAATAATTAGTTAAGCATTACCTTTATGAAAATTAATTATATGAATAGAACAATAGCCAAATCTAATTGAACCGTATTGTTTAAGCGTAATGAGTTTCAACATTTAAATTTAAAGTTAGTTAATTACCTGCAATTCTAGTAATTCAATCTTACGATGTTCTCATATACATTATCAGTGCTATTAATATTTACAATTTCAAAATTAACAATAGCACAATTTATGCCACCATATGGAGCATTTGGTGCTTTTCAAACACCTGGCTTATTAAATCGTAAGTTAACTTTATTCCTTTTTTTTTCTTTACGTGAATGACACGTGTAAGATTTAAAAATTAATCATTTATTGATACTAAACAATTACAAGAAATTCATTGTTATTGAATATGAAAATGAAAAATCAATAAACTGTTAGATTCAAAAAAAAAAAAGATATTTTATAGCATATTTGGGACCATTTGGCGGCTTTGGCATGGCAATAGGTTATGATCCAATGCTACTATCCAACAATATGGGTATGAATTTGTTTGGTAATCCATATTTGTTAAACCCATATACACCATTTGCGCTCACAAATAATGGTAATTCGTTTGCCACAAGATATGGATCACCGATGTATTCAAGAAAGCGATTTATTCCAGGTATCATTTAAAAAAAAAAATCATGTAGCAATTAATTAAGCATTACCTTTACAGAAATTAATTATGAAAAACGAATAGAACAATAGTCAGATTTAATTAATCATACTGTTTGAATTAAAGACTAAAACAGAATTTTTCAGATTCGTTTAATTTTTTCAACTTTTGATTGAACTCAAACATTGCCAATTTATAGGTTTTGGTTGTTTGAATCGATCTGGTTGTGGTATCGGCTTGCAAAAGAAGGAATAGAGTTTAAATTTCAAACATTTCATAAATTTAATTTATAAATTATAGTATTATTTCATAATTTCCTTCATTGATTCATATGAAGAAATAATACAGCGAAAAAAAGAACGATAAATTTTCTGTAAATGAATATGAAATTTCATATTGTATCAGAATAATTCAACAATAAATTCATTATTTAATAATTTCATGACATTTGCACTCCTACTTTTCATTTTATTTACGAAGATGAACAATGAAAATTTGAATTATTTCAAATTAGAAATATAAATGTGACAAATAAAGTTTATCTTCCATCTTCCAACGAAAGAGCCATTGGCTTACCATATAAATGATATAAAAAAGTGAATAAATCGGATGATCTAATATTTTTGATTGTCATTTTACCATTATACCATTTGATACGATCACCAAATTCCTCTCGCTGAAATGTCTTCTTCATTGATTGATCCGTTACAAATACGGAAAGCATAAAATGATTTCATGAAATATAATAAATTAGTTTTCAGATTTTATTATTCCTGTCAGGCAATTTTTTTTAAAAAGAATCATTTTACATATTTACTGAATGATCGTTATATGACATTTGAAATTTTCAGTGATTCTAGAATCAATAAATGCATTATTACTTTGTATATATGCAATTCTAATTTAGGAATAATATCAATTTCTTATTAATCTATAATTTATTTTAATTCTTATTAATCTAAAATTTTCATAATTTTAATCGAATTTCTCGAAAAAAAAAATTTTTTTGATAAGGTAAAAAAAATGACAAACCGCAAAATCAGTCAATTTATCATCCTTTACAATCATTTTTTCAGTTTTAACTTCTTTAACACTGTCACCAAAATGAATATCCACAGTGTTACCTAATTTGACCAACATAGTAACTGTTGCGCTATTTGTTTCTTGAAATAATATTAGCAAACTTACTGATAACAATGATAATATTTTGCCCGTAAATGCTACCATCATTTTATGATGTAATAGGATCTGAAAAATGGATAATATTGAGAAATGTCTAAAATACAATGCAAAAAGTAATGGTGAAATTATGATAATTTGCTAAAATATCATATCAAAATTTTCCGATCGTTATTCACTCATAGTAACACAGCTACTGATAATACAATTGAGTACTTGATAAGAAGCTAAATATCAAATTGATGAAGTTATTTACTGATAAATTTTGCTAAAGCTATCAATTATTTAATTTCAATTAGCCGTATAAGGTGTGAAATGTTGCAGAATGTCTTTTTCCTAATATGAACATCTCATGAACACTTATCTGAAGTAATCTATTGGCTTAATAAGAAAACTGTTATCAGCATTATCAGCAAAAAAGAAAAATTAGTTAAGTTTACTGCTTGTAAAAAATTACAGTAAAAATTAAAAAATGAATTGATATGTGTGAAGTGTGTTTTTATACAATAAAAGAAGGAAAAGATGCACATTGCACTGGTAATTTAATTTTTTCTTTTTTTTTATGCGAAGACCTAATCGGTAACCATATCGAAAAAAAGCTAAAAATTACAAATGATTTGTTATCAATTTCATTTCAACTCAAAAACACGCTTCTTTTAGACTAACTAACTTCTCAACATGCAATATAATAAACAACTTCCCTTTCACATTTTTTTTTTTTTTTTCTACTTCGATAGTTGTTTTCAAAGTTCCATCCAAATTATCTAAACTGTGATTAATTTTTTCTTCCTTTTGCTTCGTGCTTTATTTTACATTATCATTTATCAGTATCTATATTAACACAAAAACGAAAACGCTTTATCAAAATTTTCAAATTAAAATTTTTAAACTTTGATAATATTTGTGAGGACAATTAAATTGATCATTTTATAATTATGTTAATAAGTTTAGTGATATTGCATAGATTTCTCATTTTTATTTACAAAATCATACAAACATTAATATTACTGATCACTGGATAAATTACATTTATATATTTACATACTTCACCAAATATCACGTGTATTTCTGTACCCGTTCCAAAATAAAATGGGAAATTTGAAATGATATATAACATAAGCAATTCAATCTTCATTTAAACAAAGCTAGCTAGATAAGAGTAAAGCAAGGAAGATAGTCATAAAATTTGTCATTGGTAAAATGGAGTTGTTTCAAGATTTAATATTATAACTGAATTACAGAGCAGAATATCGCATTCATATTTACCATTCATTATAAAAATACGAAATATCAGAAACATTTGCTTTATTTAAGATATAAATTACACGAAAATACTAAACAACATAATAAGTCAAATTGTTGTAACTTGGTATTTTTTGTAAAAACTTAGTATGGTACTTTTTTTAAATTACAAATGATTAACTTTGTTCCGCTTAGTGAATATTTACTTAATCTTTCGTAATGTAAACTATTTCTAATTGAAAAATAATAAATTGGGAATATATCAATATCTTTTGAAATTTTATTATTTACATAAATCCATCAATTTCAATAACATTCTGCATTATCAAATTAAGTCAGTGAATTGTAAATCTTACCAAAGTACATCACCGTATATCAGTCTTTTAGAAACAATGAAGTAATTATACAATATTAACTATTTTTAGCATATTTGACAGAAGAAAAGGTAGATAGCAACGAATATATCTCAGCAAAGGAATACCTGGATTATTTCGACCAATGTGATAATTTAATGATTTAGAAAAAAGGCATTCTTCATGTTGAAATATTGTGGTTATTTACCGACATCATTCTCGGATTGTAATTTCATTTCATATCTCATCAACTGCTGCATGAAACCCGGATTTGGGTTAACTGAAAACAAAACAAGTTTGAATATTGAGTTAATATAAAAGAAACCAGAAATTACTTGAGTTTCATTTGTAAAATATTGCATAATATATCTTTCCAGTTCAAAATAGAAAGACAAAATTTCTCAAATCGAAATTTATTTTCAACAACTTTCCGGTAAGGAAAAATTATGAATAAAGCTAATCACTTTAATTATCAAAAAAGAATAAATCACTCTCCACATAACTACCATAAGAAGATTCTTCATATGTGAAAAGATTAGATTTACATGTAAAAATCAATGAATGAAACGGTCGTTCATGTTACTAAAATATTAATGATTCTAAGTTTCAAACAGTCTTTTTCGCTCAATATCTGTTATAATTGGAAAGATGAAATTAAGTTACCTTTTCTAATTGTATTGACGTGTTCCAGAGCTTCACGTAACGTCATTTTGTTATATCGCATTATGTATGATAAAACAATAGTGGGTGATCGAGAGACACCAGCATTACAATGTACAAGAACCTGGAAAATCTTCTTAAGAAACTTAAGCAAAGCTAATTAATTACCGCTCTAAAAGCTCTATTAGTTTAAAAAAAAAAAGACATATTACTTCGTTAATGATTACAATATTCAATGTTAGAATCAACATGCTTCCTAAACAAAATCTTTTAAAAAAAAAACAACTACTTACCTAAGAAGCAGAATATTCATAATTTTAAATTTAAGCTGTTGCTTGAATCACAATCATATTGTTATTTAAAACTAACCCACATATTAACCCACATTTTCAAGAAAAAAAAAAAAATAAATAAATAAAATAACTCACATTTCCACCATTTTCTACTGCATTCTTCATGAATTCATGACATTTATCAAAATATTGCTCCATATTACTCCACGGTAAATCCAGCACATCAAATGTAAGATATTTAATTGCACCCAAAAAAATATTCTCTACACCAGTTGCACAGTTGATAATATGTGTAACATTATGTGCCATGAGGATGTCATAATCGTGTGCTACATCCTGACTTCCTATAATGATACCAATTAATTTATCATTGTAGAAAAGTATAGTGCTATAATGAAAATTAAGCAGCAAATTTTGTGGACGAATAATAACAAAAACAACGATAGTAATGTAAATAAAATAGTAATAAGAGGTAAAAAGTTTTTTAATCCTCGATCTTAAACAAAAATAAACTTTTTTAATTGAGTGAAATGAAGATCGGCAAACTTCAGCGACATACATGTAAGATGCCTATTAACTGAAACAATACTTCATGTCTTTCCTACTTCTGTCTTCACCATTCATTTATTTCCATTTATCCATTAGGAAGAGAATTTTTTGTTATTTCTTAGATAGCAAGAGAGAGAGAGAGAGAATGTAATAATGTTTTAAAACCTCCACCAGACATACAATAGACTAAGCAAAACTACGCCAACAATAATTATAATAATAGTACAGTACCTTTCAAATGATTTTTGTCAATTTTTGCTCAAATATTAGTATTAAACTCTACCGAATGAATGAAAATTACAAGGAATAATATTCTAGATTGTTGTCCCTACCAAGGTAAATTCCTTTCGCCACATTCGCCATCTGTAGATCAGGTTTTAAATCCACTATATAACCCAAAGCTTGCCGATATAATCGGTTTTTCATCTGTCGATTTGAAATATGACTTGTAGAATATGCTTTCTGTGAATCGTCCAAACCACTTTCCTTTTTGAAAGTAACTTCAAGCTCTTGCACCTCTTTTTCGCTACCACTATTATCAGTTTGACCTCTCTCATCACCTGTACACACAAAATCACCTCCACTTGAACGTTTTTCTTTCACTACTGTACCATCTTCCATTGTTACTCTGAAAATATATAAATAACACAAAAAAAAAAATGCCTGTAAATAAGGTACGATTAACAAAACGAATACTAAGCAAATACATAATTTAATTTTGTACAATAGCGCTCCGACTTCACCAATAAATAAAACCGCCAAAGCCAAGCCAACAAATGATTAAAATAATTTGAAAGAGAATGGTTCGATAATTAAATAATTTGAATTACTCAAATTTTTCGAAAAAAAAAAACTCATATCAGTGTCAAATTGTTTTCATAATCATTAAGAATTCGATAATTTCCTTTACTAAAAACTATATTGTTTAAGATAAACTTATGACATGATAAAACAAGAAATGAGAAATTTACGTAGTTTCAACAGCTCGCAAATTTTCTCGTGCTTTACGTATCTTCTCTAGTATAGACATTTCTTTTAATGATATTCTTTCGCTTAGATTTTGACAATAATCTGAAACTATAATAATTCCAAACAACGAAAAAAAAAAGACATATAAACAAACAAACTGCACAAAATGAAAGAAAATGCGTAAATGGCACGAAAATAAATGAAAAGAAAAAAATCACAAATTGTACTAAAGTGAAAGCCATATTCGAATATAATTTTAAACAATCACCATTACTATCTTACTTAATGTATCATAATTTAATTTATAGTTTTGCTTAGTTATATAAAATAATAACAACATTCATCTGTCGCGCAAAATGTCTCTAAAATAATGATAAAAACAAAAAAAGAAAATTCATCGTTTGCTTTTTTTTTTTTTCACTTCATCTATTCAATCAGAGTAAATCACTTCATCACTGAATGACCTATAATGAATAAATTGTCACCACAACTGTCACTAAACGATCTATAATGACAAAATTGTCACCACAACTGTCACAATTGTTTTAAACTTCAAAAAAAAAAAAAAAAAATTGCCCCAATTAAACACGGCCCATGAATATTAAGTTCCATCTATTTATGACATATCTAAATGGACGATAGGATAATTACTAAAATGTAAAAGTGAAAAAGATAAAACTATTTGGATTGTTAGAAGTTTTATTTTAAATTTTAAGTTAAATTAAAATTTTTAAATGATTGAAAGAACTATCTTATCTTTATGTTATTAAATGATTTTAGTATTGATTGTATGCGCGTCAATGTGTATCTTTTTACCATCAGCGCTAAATCACTTCTCATTTCTCTCTTCCTCAATCTCTTCTTTTTCAAAAATATTTTTGAACGGATGCAATGTTACTCTCTCAGTATACGATGAATCATAATTGATCGATTTTTTTTTTGTTAATAGGTTTGAATTTTCTAGAATAACTTTTTTTAGAAAAAAAAAAAAAAAAAAAACAAACAAACAATTGATCGTCGATTCATCGTTGTTCGTAAATATTGCAGTAAATTTCATTTAAATTTTTAATTACAAAGTTATTTCTTAAAATTTCTTATTTCAAATTTACTATAAAATTTGCTTTCTTTGCTTAACAAATTTTGCTGTAATCGTTTTTATTATTATTATTATTTTAACAACTATCTAATTTAATTTGTTATTATTAAAATTAAAAAAAGCAAAAATACATCCATTTTTCTACACATTTCCTTTAAAAAATGACTTTTAAAAAAAAAAAAAAAAAAAAAGAAAAACAAATCCTTAAAAATGAAACGAAAAGTTAAAAAAGTTAAAACAAGAAGGAATGATAAAGGAATATTATTTAAAAAAAATACGCATTAAGTAGAAATAATTAAAAGCAGATTATGATTTGTTGACTGTCAAAATTAAATTTAACTAAAAAATGAAAGAGAAATTTATAAATTTCAATTAACATATGTTATTGATTAATAAATTATACTATCAATGATACAAATATTACACTTTCATATTTTCTAATTGCTAAATTAAATCATTTTGAAATTTTTTACTCTTTACTTTTTAACAATAAAACATTTTGCTTTTTCTCTTGAATTTTTATGAATTTTCAAAAACTTTGATCATTTATTTCAAATTTTTAAACTTTTACTATTTATTTTAAATTATGCATATGAATTGTAACGCTTCAAAATATTAGTTTTTATTTAATTTATCAAAATTTAACAAGTAAACAAAGTTATATTTTGCAATGAATTCGTGTTTGAATGGAAAGAAAAAATATATAAAATGCTAACGAGCTTTTATTAGCTTTTACTAAAAAAAAAAAAAAAAGTAAATTTAAAAAAAAAAAAAAAAGTTTAGAAATAAACTTTTGGATGAATTACTTCGATTCAGCTCTACTGTGACCTTGTTAAATTTTTTTTTTTTTTTTTTTTTGTCCCACTCTTATTTCATTGTTATATTTGCAATTTCATTTGTCAAAGTGTCATCAACAAATAAATCATTATAATGGATCATTGTTATAACTTTCCAATAAATATTAGTTAAATAAAAAATTAAAAAAAAAAAAAAATTATTATTTATTTGTTTATTGATTTTTTTATTCAATATTTCTTTTATTATTGTTTTTATTTAAATGCAGTTTATTGTCATTTTTTTTTCTTTGCTTTAATTTATTAAAATTTTTAAAATGTTTAAAGAATAAAAAATTTCAAATATTGTTTCATGTATTTAAACTCAGCATACATACACACACACACAGACACACGTATAAATGATATTCAAATTCAAAGAAAAAGTTACTAAATTATTTGTCGATAATTTTTTATAGGAAAAAAAAAAACTTTTTGAACTTCAATATTAGTACTAATAAAAAAAAAATTCAAATGGAATTAACAAAAATTTCTTCAACAAAATTTATTTTGTTATCATTAAAAAACTTTCTTATCATACTTTGTTATCATTAAAAAACATTGTTATCAAATTTCGTTATCATTAAAAAACTTTGTTATCAAACTTTGTTATTATTTAAAAACTTTATCATTAAAAAACATTGTTATCAAACTTCGTTATCATTAAAAAACTTTGTTATCATTAAAAAACATTGTTATCAAACTTTGTTATCATTAAAAAACTTTGTTATCATTAAAAAACATTGTTATCATTAAAAAACATTGTTATCAAACTTCGTTATCATTAAAAAACTTTGTTATCATTAAAAAACTTGAAATTACACACACAGACACAACACTAATAGAAATGTTTAAAGTTTAGATGAATGATTTAATGTGAAACGCAACAGCTGCGCAATTTAGTCGAATGAGAAATTTTTCTTTTTTCTTTTTTTCGCAATTAGTTAAGAAAAAAAAAAATTTTGAGCAGATGAAAATTACATTTTCTTCAACAAAATTAGCTTTTTTTTTATCTTTTATCTTTTTTTTTTTGCTAAAATTTGCAAAAATTTTAGTCATTGTTTTCAACATTTTTTGAATTTATTTTATCAACAAAAAAGAACAAACAATTTTGTTATCTTTTCTCGATTGATAATATATCACATTGATCTCATCTCAATTTGATAGCATTTTTTTTTCTTTTATCGCTTCTCAATTAATAATATTTCTTTTATTTCTTCTCTGTAGATAGTATCTTCTGATAATATCTCCACTGATAATATCTTATTTTGCACAAAAATTTCATTCTAAATATAACTTCGTTAAATTTCTTTTGAAAAATGCTAAAAGTAAAAGTAAGATTTTTGGAAGTGTTCAAAGTTTTTGTATAAAATTGGATTATTATTTTAAAGAGATATTGAAGAGTAAGATTAAGTTAAATTGAAGAGTAAGATTAAGTTAAAAAAAAATTTTTTTTCTTTTTTTATCTGATTGATAATCAACATTTTATCTTTTATTCATCTACTTTATTTACATCATTCCAAAATGAAATTTAAGTTAATCCTATCCAGTTTACTTATTCAACTCTCGAATTATTGCCAAAAGATTTGACAAAAAAAGCAGCCGAAAGTAAAAATTAATAGATTTAAAACAAAAAAAATTTTTCGAGAAACTGTTTTTACAAGAAATTTTAATCAACGTTGATAATAAATAAGTAAATAGTTTCATTTGACCTTTGCACTGTCTAAATATCCTTTAATGTCTTTTCTCTTATCATTGTCACAAATCATAAAAGTTTTGATAGTTATCCATCATTCTTGCAAGTCTGTTTATTTTCTTATGTCATTCATCTGCCAGTAGTTTTAAAACGATCTGAAATATGAAGAAAAGACAGGTTCCTTCAATAGGAAAGGCAATATTTAATTTCGTTTGGAATGTAATTAACTTTTTATCGATGATTCAACATTTTAGAATTATTTTTACAAAATAAAATTTTTTATTTTTCTTTTTCTATTTTTTTTATTTTCTATATTTGATGAGTTTTACAAAATTTTTTTCAGGAAAATCATTACTAAATCTTTCAGGTAACGATTAAAGATCTCCGATATTCTCGCGAATATCTTCCAAAAAATAATGGAATTGATATGCCATAATTAAATTAACATTTAAATTGCCGAGAAAAAACTTTTTTTTTCTTTTTTGTTTGATCTCTGATTTTAGTATAATAGAAAGTTTTATCAGTATTATGCACACTTATAATTTCTCTTTTAAAATTTTTGAATTTTAATGATAAATTTTATTAAATGCATTTGAATGAATATTTTATACGAATTGATATGATTAAAAAATGAAATGCATCAAAAACATTTGCCATTTTTTTTTTTTTTTTTTTTTTTGGATTTCGACGAAAAAAAGCGAAAAGAAAAGAAAGAATCAATATGGAAATTTTTCTATTTGCTCTTACTGCAACATTACTGTTTGCGCAAAGTTCAAGTTCAGTTCTGGTACAAGAAGAAAAACTTGGTGAAACTATCAAATTAGAACTTGGCACAGGTGTGATGGATGTTCAAGCTGAAATTCCAACAGCTAAAGATGGTCAAATAGATCGTATGGATATTCTGAAAAATGGAAAGATTACTGATTATGGTGTAAGTTTTACTTGATAAAAAAAAAAGAAAGTTAATTAATTAAAATTAAAATTAAAAAAAAAAAGTTTTTTCTTTTGTAAAAAATTTAATGAAAAAAAAATTTTTTTTATAAATTTGTAATATATCATTATTTTATTGATAACAATAAAAGATATTATCATTATTTCATTTATCCTTCCAATTTTTACTTTCAATCATTTGATATTCTTTACAATTAAAATTTAATTTTTTCCATTTATCTAATTTAAAATGAAATTATCAGATATCAGAAACATATCATATAATAATAGCAATTATTTCAGCGCAAAAGATACGGTGATCGATTATCATTTAAAAATGGTATATTAGCAATTAAAGATTCAACTGCAAATGATGCAGTTTCATATTTCTACTTTTTAAATGGTGATCCAAAAAAGCCAGCAGCAATTGATATTGTAATTAAATAAAAATATTTCGGGATTTTTCTTTCTCTTTTTTTTTTTTTTTTCTTATCACAGAAAGAATAAAATGTTGAATTAGCATAAACAGTGTATCACATTGTTAATTAAATTTGCATAAAAATTTACATATTTGGGTGATAATTTAAATTATAAAACTGAAATAAGTTTACATTAGTAAAATGAAATAGCATTTATAATAATAAATAATAAAAATTATAAATTTTAATAAATTTCTTTTGTGAAAATTTGTAAAAGAAAAAAACTAATTCTTCATGCTATTCTCATCTTAGATGGAATTTTTCTTTCAAAAGAATTGTTTTTGCTCTCAGATTAATTTATTATTTAATCATTTATAGAATATTTTAACAAAAATATATAGGATAGCTAATTATTGTTATATTAAAAGATAAATTAATTATCAGTAATTAGTAATTGAAACATTGCAAATTATAAGATATTTCATTAAAAGTTTGTTATCAAACTTTTTCATCAAAAATTATTTTCAAAAAAAAAAAAAAAAAAAAGGAAGGAAAAAAACGGTAAAACATAGAAACACCAAATTATAAGTTTTTTTTTCGCATTTCTTACTTTATACGAAAAAAAAAAATAAATAAATAAAATATTAAATGAAATGCTAACATCAAAATGTTAAATTTTTTTTCTTTTTTTATTAAATTCATTTATTTTCATATTGAGCGGTCTGTGATGGCATTAAGAGTTTTAATTTTGTTATTTGTTTGGCTTTCACATTTGCATACTGTAATAGCTTTATGGAATCTTTCGGCTATGCCATGGTACTGTAATCAACATTGCTACAGTAGGATAAGTAAGCCTAAAATTAGCAGTACCAATTGTTTGGAACGGTTAGTGACAGTAAATATTACTTTGTAAAGTAACTTATTAAAAGTTATACTTTTGTTTTTCATTTTTTCTCATACAACACCTTATAGGTTAATTTTTTTTTTAATTTTAACTCAAAAAGTGTTAAAAATAAAAGTAAACGTCAAAAGTTCAGCTTTGTAAAGGATGGAATACTGTACTTTGAGTTCATTTTTCATTTTTTAGAAAAAATTAATTTATTATTTTGTTTCAGGAAGCTAATAGCATAATATTATCTCAATTATTGTAAATAGTTACAAATAGCTCTTCTTTTACTTTTTTTTTTTACTCATTAAACTCAAATAGACAAAATTATTTGACGCAATAATTTAAAAAATTTGTTCAGCTTTTTTAAAATTTTATCTCTATGTAAACTTCAATTGTTACTTATTTTATCTTACCTGAATAAAGTAGCGTTCTATTTAGAGTAAAATAATTTGTAAGTAAATCTATTATGCAAAATAATTCTGATAACATAGTTTTGAACAAATTAATTTTACATTATATTTTCTTTTGCTTAGGAATGCTACTACCGAGCATATTTTCAAAATGTTTAATATTGATATTAATAAATCAATTTGCTACAAAGATTCAAAATTTCGACAAAATGTTTGCTTGAAATTAGTAAAAGGGAAATATTTCATTGGTACGTGTAACGTGCACGTCATTGATTATCGAATAAGCTGTAGGAGATCAAATGATCGAATGTCTTGGTATCGTGGAATGCAATCTGTTTCATTTTCGTTAGTTTCAATTTCACATATTAAAATTATAAATCAATTAGTATAATAATTAAAATTTTTACAGATGAAAAATTTGAAAAAGAAAAAAAAAAAGAAAAACTAATGTAATTAATTAGATAAATTATTTATTCTAAATTTACATTGTCACTTTTTTTTTTTTCAGTGGAAAAAGTTGTTTACGTTGGGATGAAGTAAATTCAACGTTTCAATCGACTGATTTCAGTAATTATCTTGGTCCATCCATAAGATATGCATCAACTCGAATACATTCATTGGAAAATTATTGTCGTAATCCGGATGATTGGTATATGGGACCATGGTGTTTTATAATGGTTTCAAATTTTATAAATTTAATAGTTCAAAAATCCAAACTTTAGTATTTAAAAAAAAAAAAGTTAACTTGCGACAAAAAGAACACAAATAATATAATACTAAAAAAAAGAAAATAATAGATTAATTATTGCTAATGCTTTTGAGCGCTGCAATTAAAGAAAAGTTAAAGATCAAAATTAATTATGACTAATACTAATTAAAGAAAAGTCAAAGGTTGAAATTAGTTATGATTAGTACTAAATGAAGGAAGGTCAAAGACCAAAATTAATTAATTATTAATTTACTTCTATTTTAGGATGAATCACGAATTCGACGTGAAGCATGTTTTAAGCAATGTGAAGCATATAATCAACCAGAATTTTGCCTTGCAAAAATGTTTTTTCCATATATGTTACCAACAATGTCATTGTTTAATGGTGCACCAATTGTTGAAACAAAGAGTGAATCGATCAAAGGTGCAATTTAAGATGCTAATAAATAAGGCTATATTGTCGTCTGGTCAATTGCGCCCTTCATTAAACTTATTATGCATCTTTTTTTCTTTTTTTTCGATACATTTTAATTTTTTTTTTGTTCTTTTATACTTTTGCTTTTTGTTGTGCATTTTCTTTAATAGCATAAATTTTACCTTTCTCTTTTGATATTTAAAGTTTATTTTAACTTTGAAATTAAAATTCAACGTTGTATTTTTCATCCAATAATTCAATTAATGCTTATTTAGCATATACTTTGTTTAAAAAAAAGTAAGCAGTATGTGTATTAGATTAAAATAAAAATTTATATAACTCTATTTTATCTGATTATATTTGTTCACATTCTTATTGTTCCTTAAATATTTTTAGATTTAAGTGATATCATTGATGTGCTAAGTGTCGTACGTATTAATTCACTAATTAGACCAATGTTCATTCCAACTTACTTTAATGATTACATTCGAAATTATCCGGCTGATATTTCCACACGTTTACGTTGCTATCAAACAGGACCACAAACACGTATCGCTGGTCCGTGGACATATTCCGATGCTGATGAACCATTTCCGGAACGAAGATACTGGTAAGTAAACAATTATTGAATTTTCATTGTAATTATCTGTAATTTTTTTTTTAAAAAAATGTTACCTATCAAATTTTACACTTCTACTTTCTTATTTATTAAGTTTGAAATGCTATGATAAAATTCTTAACTCAATTAGTTAATGAAAAGTCAAATTTGCTGACAAATTTAGGTATTGATAAATTTTAAGAAAAAAAAAAAAAGAGTAAATTTTAAAGATAACACAAAGTCATTTATATATTTTTTGGATTTAAAAAAAAAAATAAATAAATTTTAAAATAAAAGTTCTCATGCAGGCTATCTGATTTATTCAAAGATGTCGGTGTCGATCAAATGGATCGTGAACGGACGTTCCGTGGTGATGGCGGACCACGTTTCACACGTTGGAGGCCTTGTTTTTTAGCATGTGAAGATAACAATGTCAGTTTTATACTTCAAAATTTCTTTAAATAGAGAAAGGATTATAAGAGAAATTTTACGTAATATTCCAAATATGCGTTTTAATCTCTTTTAGATACCGTGTTGGCCGCTTGCGCAAACAAGCCCTACACGTAAACGCTTTCCATATTATGGACCACGTGATCACAATGCGCAGGGTGAAAGTTGCGTGTCGCCTTTTTTTGCTTATGAAATTCTCTTACATCTGGAAAAAACAACAGAACTAAAAGAAGTTTAATTTTTGTTGAAAAACAATCTCCAAATTTTGTTTTTTTATCAAAAATAATCATTTCCTAAAAAAATTTTCAATCTGAAATCAAATATTAAAAAAAATTTTTTTTTTTTTTTCCAGAATGAAACGATATATTTGAAAATATTACGTGATGAAGTATTATATGATAGAAGCAATAAGCCCAGAATACGAAATATTTTTGCACATTCAAAAGGTCGCTTAATGGTTAGGTAAATAATTAAAAGTATAAATGAGGTATTACTATAGCATAATTAATTTATTGAAAGTAAGATATGCAAATATTCTCATACAATATTAAATTACTTGATATTTACTAATTTATATTTAATACTGTTATACCCAAATAAATTTAAGTATTTAATTATTTAAGAACTTTAGTAACAAGTAATTGTACTATATTTTATAATTTGTTGACACAAAAAAAAAAAAAAAATAATAATAATTTAATTAAGTAATCGTTGTTTTACTCTTGGTGATTTCCTGCATAGTATGGATAAGACAGCTCGTATCGAAATGGCAATACAATATTCACTTTATTATCATATATTTAAAATTGGTGCTGGTTGTTTTATTGAGGTTGAATATCGAAAAAAGGTTGTATTAAATTTTATTCAAGGAAAAATTAAATTAATTAGATTAAAAATTATTTTAAAATTAAAAAAAAAAAAAAAAAAAAAAAACAAAAATTATTGTATAATTTTTAAATCTGTTAATTTGTTTACATTTGATCATTCGATGTAGTTTTTTTTTTTTTTATGATTTAAAATTTGACATTATCATAATATTTTTCTTTTTACTAATCATTTGCATTCAATTTTTATTTGCAATTAAGATGAATATTTGGTTGAGGAGAATTTTTTTTTTTGTTTTGAAGTTTTTTTGAAATTGAAATTTAAACAAATTTTAATGTTGATGCTTACTTAGGTAGAGTATCAAGCATGCTTTATTGATTGTCGATGTAATCGATCATTAAATGAACCGGTGATCTTTGAAGAAAATCATTGTGGTTTGGAAGGAAAATGTAGTGGAAGTAAAATTGTTGAAGTATAATTTTGTTTTGTTTTTGTTTTTGTTTTTGTTTTTGTTTTTTTTTTTTCTTTTCTATTAAGGTGTAAATGGAGAGATGAAAAAACAAAGAACTATTATTTGAATTTTAAATTTTTATTTTCATTTTGATTTAATTACATTTAATCAAATTACAATTAATATTTTGCTTCTCTTTCTAATTAATTTTATTTTATTAAAATGATGAAAAATAGAATTTAATTACTTGATTTAATTAAATTTATTGACTGAATTTTTTAAAATTATTTTAGAAATAGCAAAAAATATTCAATGCGATATTTTTTTTTCCTTTTTTTCCTTTTTTCCTTTTTTTTTTTGCAGGAAAATGATGATTACAATGAGCATATAGATGTTTTTAAAAATATCACTGAAATTGATCAAATAAAACCTTCAAATAATATAATGATTGCTTCATTATTACTATTAGGCATTACTTTATTATCTTCCGTTTCCGGTTAGTTTTTTTTTTTTTTTTTAAAGTTGAAATTATTTATTTCTGTTATTTCATTATTTTCATTAATAATTTATTGTCATTGCAGGTTTTTATAAATAGTTTTTCATTGATTAACTTATCTTTTTTTTTTTGTTTGTTTGTTTCAAATACTTTTGTTTATTTTTAAAAACAATTTAATCTTTTTCAGTGATTCTAATAATTGTTTTGTCAAATAAAGATCGATGGTTTGCTAACTTTTGGCCTTATCAACGTAAGAAATCATAACTTTTAGCAGAGCCGAAAACTTACCTTTGTTATTATCATTGTTGTTTTGATAATTTTTATTTATTATTGTTAGATGTTATTAAATAATTCTAATGAAAAGAAAAAAAAAATTCCTTCTTTTACAAAATATTTTTCTTTTTTTGCAAAAGATATCTCGAAAAGTACAATGTTAATTATTATTAAGTGCAAATTATCAGTTATCATTACTGATAAGCAAACAACTGATCTGTACTATCATTTATATTCATTCTAAACGAACACATTACAATTTGTTGAAGTTGAAATTGAATTTTCAAAATTTCTCTTCACTTTCAGTTTTTAATCTCACCGGCAAACTAACCGTTAATTTTCAAAGAATTTCAAAAATGCAATCATTTAATTTACTTAATCTCAATCTAATCCTCAACTGTTATGATTTAAATAATTTTGAAAACAATATTTAAAAATTTTTTTTTTTGTTTTTTTAACTCACAACATTTTCTAAATCGATTATAAAATGAAATGATCAAATTACTTCTAATCAAAATAAAATTTATTAATAAATAATAAAAAAAATAAGTGCTAATAATGCACAAAAATATTTTTTAATTTTTATTTTAAATCAAAACATCGTTACTCGTCTGAAATCATTAACTAATAAGGTAGATAGAAAAAAACAAAGAAATATTTTTTATAAAATTTATAATCTAAGCAATATTATTTATAATTAAACGATTAATCAGTGATATACTTAATGAAATATGATAATTCATAAAAGTGCACGAAGAATTGAAATTGAAATTTAAATCAATAATTAATGAACAAATACTTTAAGTAATTAAAACTGCTTAATAGAATCATAACAATAAATTGTATGTAAATACTGTTTATTTTTCATATTCGATGAGTGTTTTCTATTTTCGCAAGAAATGACAACTTTTACGGAATTGATCATTCCGGCATAACATTTGATTTGAAGTATATTATTTTAATTTCTCTCAATTCGTAAGCTTAATGCTAGTTTATTATTTTTGTTTGAGATAAGTTTGCAATTAAGTTCAATTAAAAAATCACCGTTTAATTAAACTCAATTAGATAATACATCTATGAATTTGATTGATTAGAATATTTATTGATTCATTAATTTCTTTTTTGATCTTTTTTGTTTGGATAGCTGCTCAAAATTTTTGTATTTTTAAGATAACACATACCTTTAAAATACAAATTGATAATTAATTTGGATAGTAATAATTGGTAATTGTAATTATATTCAATTATAGTAAAATATTCATTTTAAAAAATAATATCACCGCAACGATTTTATCAGAAATATCCATTTGTAAATAAAAAAAAAGACAAATAGAATTTATACCTGTGAAGGTTTAAAGATAAACAGCTAACATAGCTTATCAAATCTATCAATGATAATATGATAAATATGAAAAAAGAAAGTCGTTCAATTTTTATTTTCTTCTTAAAATAAATACTTTTTTGCTTTCCTTTTTCTCCCTCTTTCTCTTTGCCTCTCTCTCCCTGTCTCTTATCTTTATAAATTTGTCAATTTCTGATAATTTGTTGAAATGTTAAAACATTCATATGACGATAAAGTGATTAGTAAATAATTTTGCTTTAAATCATTTAATTATATTTAATTTTTATCAAAATTAATCGTAAATAAATGATTAACTTTTATTCATTAAATTTATCGAAAAAAAATTGTAATAAATATTCATAAGTTCCATTCATTCTATCAAAAAAAAAAAAAAAAAAAATCAGATATATTATTTTTTAATTGAAATAACTTCGATCAGTAATAATCAATGAATGTGATAGACATTTTTTTGTTTTTTTTTTAACTCTCAAGTCACGTATAAGTTAAAAAAAATAGGAAATAATGAATTAAATTTACAAATTAGAAATTGAAAAAAAAATTATGAAAATTAAAAATTAAAGAAAAAATATAAATTAAGAAAAAAATCATTAATTTTAAATATTTCATTCTGTAATTATTATTACAAAAATCTTCAAAATTCATTGTGAATTTATTTTTCACATAATAAATATCTTTTTTTTTTATTGTGAAAACAATTTTACATTGTAAAAAAATATTTTACGACAAAAAATGTATAAAAATTTTTATTTCAACATCTTTTTTTTTCGAATTTACATTAAAATATTTATTTATATTTATATTCTGTGTAATTTGCAAATGAAAAATGCTAAGCATCGGAAAAATATTCAATTTCTATAAGCAAAACAGAAAAAAAAAAAAAAAAAAAGTAAAAACGTTTGGAAAAAACTTTTTAGAATTCATCGTTAAATAGGAAAAACTTTTTAGAAAGCAATATGAAATGAATATATTTGTTATTTCAGACCTAAAATATTTTTCTGACTATTCGCATACGTCGTTTTTGGAATTAATCATAAAGATTGAAATTTTTATCAAATCAAACTAAAATTTATCTTTAAAAGTAAATTCAAATCTTAGCTTTTTAAGTTGTAACTATTTAACATTTATTATTAATATTATTGCAAATAAAATTTAATAAATTTTATAAAATTTCATTTTCCTGATATCTATTATTTGTCAACTAGAATATTTTCCATGCAGCATCTGTTTTCACTTGTAAAAGTTTTGAGGCTTAAATTGAAGATAATTTAACACTCAGATTTTAAGATAAAGTTCAACTGATTCTTTATTAGATTGTAATTTCCGGATAGGAATAGACCAGAAGAATTAAATATTTTAAAATAGAATTTTTTTGTTTCATATTTATTCAGTTTTATTTTTAGATGAATTGCTAATCAATAGGATTATTTTAACATTAATCCTCAACGAATTGCATTATTTAATAATAAATTTGCATATTATTTTAATGCTTTAAAAATTTAACTTAAATATTGATTGGAACATTGTGTGATCAGTGTATGCTGGTGAAAGTATTCCGGTTGGTTGCTTGATTTAATAAGTGATCAATTCAGTTCTTAATTGTAACTGATCAGGAAATTTTATTTCAACGTTGAATTGATCGATATTAAAACTCAACAAGAATATGTTGAATACAACAAAATTGCTCGTTTTAATTGTTATCATTGTCATCGCTATGCCTAATGCAATGGGACGAAGGTTTTTTTTAATAATTTAAAATTAATTTAAAAACAAAAAAAAAAGTTTGATAACTATGCATCTGTCCGATTTTATGTCTTATAAGTCTGATTCCATATCAAAAAATAAAATAAAATAAATAAATTATATAAATATGCAAATGATTAATTGGATATTATATTTTTTTTTAAAATTTCAATGTTTAAATTTATTTTGTAAGTATTAAATATAAAAGAATTTAAATTGTTAACCATTTTACAGAGTGTCATTATGCAATCAAAAATGCAAGAAATTTTGGCATTGCTTATTGGAAGGTGAGCCAGACTGTGACAATTATAAAGGACAATGCGAATGTAAAACGGAACCAACTTAATTTCAATGATAAAAGATCGAATCGATGAAGAAAAGATCATTAATGATCTGATCAATCTTTTTTAGATTATTATTTCATCGTTTCATCATTTTAATGTATTCGCAATAATAAATTTTATTTGAATTTTGGAAATAATTATTGTAACAATTAAATGATTCAAATCATTCTTGCAAATCAAACGATTATGGCAAGAATATTTCAGGAAAACCTGATATAACTTATATGATTGATTGATTGATTGATGCATTTCTGCAATAGCATTAAATATTTTCCTTCTAAATTATCAAATGTGTATTAATTTTGAAATAAGATAGAATAACACAGAAATCTTAGAAACATAATTTGTCATTATGATTGATTTCAGATAGATAAATCATCATTATAGGGTTAAAGGTCAAAAAATAGAATAACTTAGTAATATAATGAGAATGAATCATACGCGAAATGTTAGAATGTTATTATTTTTTTTTCACTCACAGAAAATACAAACGGTTAATTTCTGCTAGATTAACAAAAATCCGGACTATAATCTATGATTACGTAACAGGAGTTGTTTTGCATGGCTTCAAAATCATACTTTTCCTGGTCTTCATGATCCGGAAGAGTATAATGGCAATTTAAGTACTGAGAGCCTCAGGTTACAATGTTAATTCGAGTACTACGAGTCTTAACCTATCTAATTGATCTAATAATAATGCATTCTTGCTTGTACGAAATTTTTCGCAGTTCAAAGATCAAAATTTGTCGTTGTGTCGCAGTCATAAATCTTTGATTTTCTCTTGTGTATCCTTCAGTGGGTCAAATGAAGTATTTGAAATGTTTAACATTTTCTTGCAACCAACTCGTCGTCTCCACGCTCTTCACAGATCGCATTGTCTTGTCAAATGCAAGTAACATTCAGCAAGCCATCTAATATTTGCAGCTTTTGCAAGAGGTACCTCAGAAGTGGGGAGCTCATAAACTTACCTGGCTGGGAGGGTCTCGCGATCAACAAGGCGGGACCTCCACGCTGAGGCTTGGCCATTGCACTCTGGGTCGGGTTGACGCGTGTGGCTATCCCGAGTTGGGATCAGCCAACAGCACAATTTTTGCGTTTGGGGTTGCGTACGCGCTCCCCCGCTATGTTTTTCTGTGACGGTGTCCAAGCACAGTGCAGCTATAGTTCTCTAACTAAAGAAGGGGGGGGGGACTGAGTCAGACATAAACTTTGACCTTTGAAACGTAGAGTACTGCTTATTGAGTGTTATATTCGCTTGTAAAGACACAAATATTCAATCATAAATTTTGAATGTACGCTTTCGTTTTTACTGGAACTGAGAGTAATCATTCTTTTTCTATGATATCTGTTAATTAAATTTCTTAAAATATCTTTTTGAGTGGTTTCTTTCATCAGAGAATTACGTATGAGTCGAATATTCCATAGGGCTATAATATATCTTTAATGGGATAAATTTTGTTGGCTCATTCTAAGTCAATTAGTAAACTTTTTTATTGTGATTTTGATATGGATGATCAATATATTGACAAGATATTATAAGAGATAATTTTAATTATTTCATAAAAATCATAAAAACAAATTTAAAACAAATAAACTTTGTGACACGCATTTATTTTGTGCTATGACATACACCCATAAATGAATGAATTTAGGCAAAATATAAGTGTTATATGTTAATAATATCGAAATGATCATGCTGAAATGCAAAAAAGACAGAATTTTTTTTTTTTTATTTTTTCTCTGCGCTTTCATTTATATCATTCAATTAAAGAAAAAGACAGAGAATAATCCTGCAAATGCATTATAATATTTCACTACTACTATCATAATCCCATACAAAAATCATTTAAGACACATATGGAGTCTGAATACCTTTGACTAATTGGTCAGAGTGTCGCCTCAACTTTATAAAACTATCGATGTTTTTTTTTGTTTTGATTCAATAATAGTGCGGGCAAAATTACAATAACTTTCTATATGAATTGCTTCTGACATTAACAAGATAACACAAGAAATTTAATAGGAAACAAATTTAGTGCTAAATTTTTAATCATATAAATTTTAAAACAATCGCAACAAGTGTCATTGGTAATTTAGTTAATTATTGCATTGTATCATAACAACAGCTACATTTAATTATAGCTGAATTAAATGAACACTCGCTAATTTGTTGGAGTGGTGCATTATAATTGGTGTCCATACATTCTCGATATTTAGGAATATTGATTTTTTTGACGTGAAACGGTTCACCCCGATCAACAGTGCACATTTTAATTGGATATGCTTCCGATGCTTTAAGAATTTTCTTTTTCTGGAAGGAATTATTGTGAATTTCATGATAATCATTTCATTTGTTATTTTAAATTAACTAGCATAATTAACTCTTAAGTAGTTTAAAAACAAATCCAGCAAAAAAAGGATCCTTTTTTATAAAATTGAAAATTGTTGACAAATTTGATAGAAAAACAAAAAAAAAAGACCATTGTTCCTAGTTGAATAATCATAATTTTATTATGTCTTACAATTCTACTTCTCAACATTTCGTAAGATCGTAAGATAACAACAAATGAACACAAAAAAGATAACTATTATTCATTATTCAATTTTATGAATAAATAATTTTTTTGAGTGATATTTCGATCAACAGTACACATTTTAATTGAGTATGCTAGCAATGCTTTGTGATCATCACAAATGCTCAAAAATATTAGCAATGAATGGGTGCTGTAGCCAATAATTAATTTAATTTAACATTTCAAAATTGCATATACCTGTATAGGTGCAATACTACATCGTATGAATCGTCGTGGATAGGCTTTCTGCGCTCGCACATAAACAATTCTCTGTTGAGGACTCATATCAGCAACGTTTTTCATTATTGCAAAATGAAGACCGTGTGAAATTCGATACACAACATATTCCCAGTTCATATGCCATCGTTCAGCTGTTTGCATTTTCATTGGTTGAAGAATCGATTCATGCGATAGTCGGACTACTGTACGATGCCTTATCTGAAGTCGAACTACTGTACGATGCCTTGTCTGAAGTCGAACTACTGTATGGTGTTTTATCTGAAGTCGAATTACTGTACGATGCTTTATCTAAAGTCGAACTACTGTACGATGCCTTGTCTGAAGTCGAACTACTGTACGATGCTTTATCTAAAGTCGAACTACTGTACGATGCCTTATCTGAAGTAGGAGTACTGTACGATGCTTTATCTGAAGTCAAATTATATTTAGAACTGTGATCAAATTCGTTAAATAGTTTCGAATGTTTAATTTATCCTTTTTTGGAGTTGGCTTTTTGATCGAATAAGAGAGAACGTTTACATTCCTCTATATTTAGAAGTAACTAATGTTATTATTGTAAATATTATTTCAAAATATTTTGCATATTTTCGTGTAAGCTTAAATTTACATAAATTCAAATTCATTCGAATTTGAATTCAAATTAATAGATTCTAAAATAATGTCAAACTGAAATACATTTTTTTGAATTTTCTCAACAAAGCATACAAGCATATGAGAATTATTAGAGATATTAAGAAGCTTGAAATTTTTTAAGTTGAAAATTTAAGATTTTTGTATTAACTATCAGAGTGCTAATACTTCTGGTTTAATATCATTTAGCAATAAAACATTTATTTGCTTAATGTATTCAAGACTAGAATATCTACTAATTAATTACCTGTACTTCTTTACTCGGCGAAATGACATGCCAATGAATTGTATATATTGGTGAGGAACGAAGTTGAACATACGTTGAACGACCACTTAGGGAGGCAAAAATGTACCGTACAGGACATTCATCTGTTTCCAGAGATGGCACCAAGCGAAACATTGATTGTGTCACCTATAATAGTGAATGACAAAAATAATTTTATTAAGAAAAGGAATGTCGCGAATTATAATTTCGCGAAAACATTTATCTAAAATAATAATAATAATAATAAAAAATAATAATTTTTAATAAAAATTAATTAATCATTTTTAGTTTCATAGTATAATAAACTAACCTCTTATGATTTATTACTCATGAGATTTTGAGTAAAATTTATTGTAAACACTTCCAATTCTTAACGCACATGATTTTATCTCAGACACGTCCAATCCTCACTTATATAAATTCAACTCTAATAAACAAAATGTTTCATAGTCATTATTGTCGACTACTTTCTGTTAACCAATATCAATTCCTCCGATCTTCCTTATTATAAGTTTCTTCTCTCCTTTTACTGCTCTGTTTATTAATACTACGTTTGCAAAAAATAAATTAATCCTTCTACTGTATTGCAAACAATTTGAATATCAACCAACAAACCCTTCACGACAACAAAAATTTATTGGTGCCACGAGCCGGGAACATGTCAAGCCACATTATTGCGAGCTTTCAACCGGCAAAGGAAAGGTTAGTCAGTCTTCTTAAAGAAGTAAATCAACTGGAGATCAAATCTCCAGAACCAAGTATGACAATAGATGAAAAAGAAGATTTTTATATAATAAGAAAAAGAGTGTTAGAAGATAAACTTCGAAGAATCCAATTATGCGTAACTACGCTTGAATCTATCAACGATAAATGGTTCACATATACTCAACAAATCGTCACGATGAAAAGAAGAGAAGAAGAGGAAGAAAAATACAAAACAGTAACAGAAGGTGACCAAGGAATATTTCAATTATTACACGAAGGAAAGGAAGCGGTAATAACACTGACAATGCACAAGGATGAAGTCGACCAAAACTTAAAGCAACTCTCAAAGGAGTTGACGAACAAACAAACAAAAGAAGAGGCAAAATTTACTCCTTCTTCAAATATTAATGTAAATCTTCCTCATTTATCGCTCCCCACTTTCGATGGAGACCCTAGACAATGGCAACAATTTTGGAGCAGTTTTAACGCAGCAGTCCACACACAAATTACTTATACTCATGTCTTAAAAGAAGGGCTCTACAAGGAATATCTGATGATATAGCTCCAGAGAATTATGAAGTCATCAGAAAACTGCTTAATGAAAAATATGGCGATCACTCAATAGTAATAACATTACTATGCAACGAACTCCAATCAATTAAACGAAATGAAAGAGAATGGATTGGAACAATTGAAAATATAGAACGAGTATACGCCAGTTAGAAGCTTTAGGAGAAAGCCTCGAACATTCAAATATTGAAATCTTGATCGAGATTAATCTTGAAATCTTGATCGATGATCGAGATTACCATTATGGATATTACATAAAATATATAAACATAAGAAGAAGGACATGCCTTGGTCAATTCTCAAACTAAGAAACTTTTTAACAAGTTTAGTTAATGTGAATGAACAGATTAGAAACTGTCAACATTCACTCACTCAACTCAATATTAAATCTACAACTACCAAACCGGAACAAAAACAACGATACAATCCCGACTCGTGGCACCAATAAATTTTTGTTGTCGTGAAGGGTTTGTTGGTTGATATTCGAATTGTTTGCAATACAGTAGAAGGATTAATAAGCCTTTATTTTTCGCAAACGTAGTATTAATAAACAGAGCAGTAAAAGGAGAGAAGAAACTTATAATAAGGAAGATCGGAGGAATTGATATTGGTTAACAGAAAGTAGTCGACAATAATGACAATGAAACATTTTGTTTATTAGAGTTGAATTTATATATGTGAGGATTGGGCGTGTCTAAGATAAAATCATGTGAGTTAAGAATTGGAAGTGTTTACAATAAATTTTACTCAAAATCTCATGAGTAATAAATCATAAGGATTGGAAGTGTTTATAATAAATTTTACTCAAAATCTCATGAGTAATAAATCATAAGGATTGGAAGTGTTTATAATAAATTTTACTCAAAATCTCATGAGTAATAAATCATAAGGATTGGAAGTGTTTATAATAAATTTTACTCAAAATCTCATGAGTAATAAATCATGAGAGGTTAGTTTATTATACTATGAAACTAAAAATGATTAATTAATTTTTATTAAAGATTATTTTTTTATTATTATTATTATTTTAGATAAATGTTTTCGCGAAATTATAATTCGCGACAAGGAATGCATTAATGTTAGAGTAAGTGCAAAAAAAAAAGAAAGGAAACTGTTGAGTTACCGCAGTGTGAAATTCGTGTAACACCGTGTAGATTTCAGATGTTCGTTGTAATGTATTTATTTGAACAAAATGTGTACGTTGTATGGCTGAGCATCGAAGTAAAATGGGTTCACGTTTTTTCACGTCTAATTCTTGTAATCGTTGTACCGGTTTATCTCAAATGAATCAAGATTTAAGAGTTGAAGTAATGCTTTCATCTAACTTTTTTCTTTACTATTTAATCAGTACGATATCTTAATCTTATCACTTAATCATTTGTTTTTTACATTTTAAATAGTAATTTATTTAAAAGAATTCTGCATTCAAATATGAAATATGAAACGAACCGACAAAAACAGAAGCAGAAGAATGCGCGAAACGATTTGATTGTAGGTTACAGTGTACTGCCTTATGCTCAAGCGACCGCTGTCTAAGCATTTTTGAAATTGGAAATAATTAAAATTAAAGAATGAAATTAAAATTCTTACATCTATCTATATGCTAATCAAATTTCGAATGTTGAGCTTTCGAATTCTAAATTGGAATTGAAAATTAAACACACATAATTGGACGTCCGGTGGATAAAAAGAGAAGAAAATGAAAGTAATATAATCTCATCGCATAAATCAACTCAAATAGGTATGAAAATGAATGGGGAAGTTCTAGAACTAATTATACTTGTTTTTTTTTTTTTTTCTTTTAGGCACAAATTATATTACTCTTTGTATCTTACAGAAGCAACATAATTCTCCATTATTATTATTATTTATCTCATTTTTTGGTATATTTTTAATTCTAAATTAAGTTGTAACTTTAAATAGATTTTATATGCGACTACTCGTATTCAGCTATTCCCATGTTTCAAATAATGAAATTTCAAAATCGAATATCTGTAAAATCGAAAATTTTATCTGATAATAGGTAATTCCCACTTTCAGAATCGCTACTCACAATAATTTTTCTGGTATTTACCATATGTGTATCGCTTATAAAACAGTAATATTGTACATAATCAAGCCATGTACCTATAACCATTTCAAGTAAAAATCTAATTCGAAATTTAAAAAATCTACGTAAGTTCACGCAATTACATCTTTTGGAAGAGGATAACAGCAAAGAGTTCAGTAAGTTGTTGAAAGTAAAAAAAAAAAAAAAAAAAAAATTCACAGATTATGTAAATTATAACATTATTAAATCATAACAATTACAAAGTGCCCAAATTGAGAAAAGGAAGAAAGGCAAATATTACGGATTATTAAAAACACAATTCTAACGAAGTAAATTGCCACTCTTAGGCTTAGACTTTGGACTTTCAGGTGATGTGAGGATTACAGCAGTGAGTTCATGTGGTCATTTTATTTGAATGTAAAATTGAGGTATAATTTGTGCTTAACCAAATGATCTGATAATGCTTGTAACCATTCGAATTGATTAATTAAGTGTGAAATGAAATATAATGCTTCTAGATGGCTAATTAATTTATCACTGACCAATTGAAGACTTTTCTATGATATAATTTTCGATTAATTATATCACAATTATATCGATTTTTTTTTCTTTTTAAGCGGTGGTTGATTAACATTATATCATATTATAAGCATAAGCATAACATCTTAAAAGCATAACATCTTAAACTAACATATGTGATTCTTAATATGCACCTTCTAGCTATAGCTTCTTTTTTTAAATTACTTTAAATAAAAAGCGAGGAAGAGTGAGAAATCTCTGAAACACAATCATACAAATTAACTAAGTATTAAAGGTATTCAAGAAAGGTAGCGTAAGTTCATTTATATTGTTAAAAAAAGTTTCTCCACATTGTTACGAAAAAGGCGTCATCACATTAAATTTAGTAAATTAAAACTTGAAATTTCAAAAGTATTTGCGTAATTAGGCGAAGGAATTAATTATATGAATTTTGTAACTGTTATCAAACCCTTTGACATCACTTATATTATCGATATTTTATTGAAGCTAGAAAAGATCTTTTAGCAAGTTTCTTCACTATTACAAAGTTTGAACTTTGCCAACCAAAATGCCTGAGTGGATTATCTGCTAAGTAGTATGTTTGGTAGTTTTCAACTCAGTAAACAAATATGAGAATTGACGATAGCCATTTACTTAATTCTTGAATGGCTCATTCCATCAAACGCGCATTAAACTAACTGACAATAAAATGAAATCTATTTAAAACTGAAATTAATAACTAATCTTTGCATTGCTCAAATTGTTAGAAAATCACATCAGACTTTCGAGATTCGAGCTGATAAGATTAAATAAATATTAAATCCATCATTATCTTCCGCATAATTTATCAAAGTTTCTCGAGAAATATCGCATTTGAGCAAAATTAAAATTACATGAATAAATGCAAGATGCAAGAACAGTTAGCATGCATTACATTCACACTGCATGTGCAGTTAGCAGTCTGCATGCATTACATACACTTTGCATGTGCAGTTAGCAGTCTGCATGCATTACATGCACGTTGCATGTGCAGTTAGCAGTTAGCATGCATTACATTCACACTGCATGTGCAGTTAGCAGTTAGCATGCATTACATGCACACTGCATGTTGGTAAATATATTTTTAATGCAAGATGCAAGAACAGTTAGCATGCATTACATTCACACTGCATGTGCAGTTAGCAGTTAGCATGCATTACATTCACACTGATATCAAACAAATTAATATTAACTAATCTTTGCATTGCTCAAATTGTTAGAAAATCACATCAGACTTTCGAGATTCGAGCTGATAAGATTAAATAAATATTAAATCCATCATTATCTTCCGCATAATTTATCAAAGTTTCTCGAGAAATATCGCATTTGAGCAAAATTAAAATTACATGAATAAATGCAAGATGCAAGAACAGTTAGCATGCATTACATTCACACTGCATGTGCAGTTAGCAGTTAGCATGCATTACATGCACGTTGCATGTGCAGCTAGCAGTTAGCATGCATTACATGCACACTGCATGTTGGTAAATATATTTTTGCCCTAATCATTCTTTCTTATCACTAATTATAATCTGTCTATCATTGTCATCACCATGATATTAAAGTGAAGAAAAATACGATATAAACGGATAATTTGCAGCTACTCCTTGGTTTGTTTAACCCTTCTCAACGAATGATTGGCCCGATTGTTAGGTAAGTATGTTCGTCCGTATCTAAGAGTAGCAAAATTTCTGGCGGTTATCCGCTCCATCATTTTTTGGGAAAGTTGCCCTCAACGGGCAACAGAATGTTTCGATCAATTATGCCAACATTGAATCTAAAGTAGACTCATTCTTTAGACCTATAAATCTCATTTTTTAATAAATTTGACAAATTTCTAATTAGTAATTGCAATAATGAATTACCTGAAAATATTGTAAACATTATTTTCTGCAACAAACCTTCCACACTATTTAGCCAACCGATTCACCGCTCTGCAAGAAGAATTCATTCCAAGAAATATCCAGAAAATATGGCGAAAAATTACGAAAAGAGTATAAATTTGGAAATATGGTTTTAATTCAATAAATTAAGAACGAACGATTGGATGGTTTAAAATTTTCACTTGTAATGTTATATTTTACTAAATAATTAATTTGTTTATTTACTGTAAAGTAATTAGATTGTAAAGCTATTAAATCATTTTGATAAAGCAAAAATTATAAATATTGGATAGAAATGTTCAAAATATTTGTTCAAAGTACCATTCCGATGCATTCAATTTGCTGTTTGCTCAAAGCTATAAGATCATTTCGGTAAAATACAAATTATTTTTTACTCGCTCAATGTTGCACTGATCATAAACACTATTATCGAATTATCAAAATCAAATGATAATATCAATGATAAATACTATTTTAGTTCTAAGAACATTTGTTTTCAATGAAAAATAAACAAGTGATTAAGTCTGTTTTATAAAATTAGATAAATAAGTCGAGATTCCATATGACTACTTAATAACTGTACAATTGATATGCAGTTTAATAGATTTCGAGATTTTGATAGGAATTGAGGTGAAAAATTAAATAAGAGGTAAAAAAATGTGATAAAAAATAAATTTAAGAGAGGTATATAAAAACACTTTTTTTTTCATCTTTTTCTGTCTTTTTTCCTAATACTACTGAAACAAAAGCAATATTAGATGGAATAGTTAGAAATTTTGATAATTATTAATAATTCAAAGAAATCAGATCAACAAAATGAGCTGATAATTTGAAATTGTTCAAATAGCAGCACTCAATTCTTCATCATTTCCTGTATTAATTTGCAATAGAAGATTTACTGACAAAACTGAAACTGCAAGATGAGAATGCATCGTGCAGTCAGCACAGTTAGCGTGCATTGAAAGTGCATGAAATATTTTTCCTTTATCTCTCTGATCATCATTGATTAGTAACTTGTCTATTACTCACATCTTTTTCAAAATAAGATTTGGGAGAATTTGCGGGGGGGGGGGCAACATTCAACCTTTAAATGGTTATCTGGGTTATTTGTCACTTTGTTAGTGACAACTCTTACCTGCAGTCAGTATAATGTGGCACTTGTCATGTCATTTTTTGGGTCGTCGTTGTTTAAAAGCGACAGTAATATGTCAACATTGAAAAGATCAATTGTTTAAAATTTTTTTTTTATAAATTTTATCATTTCTAAGTATTATAAAGTGAAATTTTTGTGGATTTTTTGCATTAATTTTAAAAGTGACATCACTAAAATGTGGGCAGGTCAGATCGGATGATTTGCCTACATATCTGATGAAAATGGATTCATAGGAAAAATTTCAAACAAATTCAAAATTCGTTTATAATATTAATTAATTTTAATTTTTAACACTGAAAAAACATATTTTAGTAAAAGCTTATAGTCTAATTAATGGGAAGTAATGTTAGCCAGAATTGTTGAAAAATTTTTTGCATCAGTGAAAACTTTCAATTAATTAATTTCAATACAAAGTTTTATGTAATGAATGATCAAATTAATATCTTACATCCATTTTTTTTTTTTTTTTGAAATCATATATAATCTCTTAAGAGTATTAGAAAGTGAGAAAGAAAGGTGCATACTTCAAAGACAAATATTTTTTCTTATATTTTCTACTTACCAATCCGTTCATTACTTACATCACTAACAATTGAATATAAATGACTTCTAGGAAGAAATTGATTATTCCCGGGAAGCAAATTAAAAGTGATAATGGGTGATTACATGGATATCAGTTAGCTTGATTTTTCCTTCGTTAATTTGAAATGATAAGCGTTTATTTTTTGCACTTATCACTGCAAGATGACACACTGCTAGCAACGGCATATAGTTTTCATTGATGTTATTTACGACCAATCCAAAATTGAGCAAACAGCAAAATGACCTTATATATATTTCAATGAAAACCAATGATTCATGATTTAGAAGGAGAAAGCTTAGATGATATTCAGGTT